TATGGAAAAGTTTTTTCGGTGCGATACTTTGTTCTGGTGATGTGCTTTTTACAGATTAGTCTCATGCGCGTTAAATTGTGTTTTCATGGAGTTGAATTAGCTTCATGACTCCATGATCTCTGATTGAAATCAATACCTACTAAATGGAATTATTCGTTCCATGCGATACTTTCCTTCCATCCTCTCCAATGCTTTCTTTTCCTTCCATCCTCTCCAATGCTTTCTTTTCCTGTGAAATTTCTTTGATGCGAAAAGATTTAAATCAGCTCTCTGTCTGCCCCCGAGTATGATGGAACCATGGCAAATTTTTGCGGATGGAACATAACTGGAACCCATCCTTCCCGCTCGTGGAAAGTCTGTCTTGCGGAATGCGTTTTGAATTTATTCTTACATCGTATACAATACCTAGTTTCCTGGAATATGATTTATCTCTCGCATCTTGCGCGCATGCGACCTCAATTCGATTTTGGCAATAATCGAGTCTCACTGCTAAAAATACCACTTCATCATTCTTTGCAAATTCTCTTGTCTGGGACGAAGTGGAAGCCCAGTTTCTAGAAAAATCGGTTCTCCGCCCGTCATGCTCTAAACTCCTTACGCAACTTTCCTTTAAAGAAAAACGGAAGACCTTGAAAACCACTCACGGGCTCATGCCTTTCTCCCTGTTGCATTTCGAATCTTGCAATCTACCATCGTGTCCATCACCGCCTTTAGTTAGAAGTCACACAACGCAATTATCACTTACCTAACCCACACAGACAGCTACGAACCTGCAGAAGCAGAGCCGCAGGACGAAATCCATGACATTGATGCTGTTCGATCTTAACATTAATAAGCGTGGAAATAAAGGTCGATGACCCACCGATACGCCCGACTAATAACCGAAGGAGACACCCGTCGCTTGCCGACCTGGCTCGCAAGCACCTGCGAATTCACGGAACTTTGGTCCCGTGTGTGCGTCTCATTCCGAGATACGGATTTTCCGCAAACGAACATCATGCATGCTTTGCGACAGAGATCGTCGATATATTATCTCTCCTTGCTTTGAACAACGAACTACCATGATGTCATGCATTCAAGATCATGTCAGAATCATTGCGAAAATAAAAAGGTTTTGTCCTTAAATAAATGCGCCATTAATACCAACCTCCCCCCCTCCCGGTTGAACCCTAGCGATATCGCGATATCGGGAGATATTTAGGTCGGCGATATCGATACTTTAAAAATCCATATCGCCCAGCCCTAAGTGAAATGTAGAAATCCATTTTTTGAGTGAAACCCATGAGTTTCACTCATATCGATTGGTTATGCTTTGTGCTCGGCCACACATGAATCCAAGCAGCATTTTCCAACAATGTTTTCTTTTTATTATGTATGCTAGACTGGCTAGTTTGTCTGCTGCTGAGGAAGAATGGGTGACCTTGCCCCTTACCCCCTGCATTTAAGGAGAGAAGGGAAAAGTAATCATCTCGTCGGGGAGTGGTGGCCGTCCTGGAGTCGAGCCCTTCTTCGCTTCTCCTTTTCTCTCCTGCTGTTTTGTTTCCTTATCGTCTAGAAGAGGTTGGGCATCATAATGGAGGTTCACATGCACCAAGAAACTGCATCCTCATCAGGATGAGTAGAGGAGAGAAAAGAGGAACTTCCCTGGGCAACTGCAGATGATGGTGGCGTCGAAGCACTGTTTGACCTCCGTTCTCTTTCTCCTCCTCGTTCCTTTACTGGGAGGCTGGGTGAGAGGTGAATCGTCGAAGCTGGACAGAGGGAGGAAGTGCTGCCCGGATGAAGGCCAGTACGGAGTGTTTCATCCAGACACGGGTGCCCTTCAGTGCCTGGGACTCACGGAAAGTGTGAGTGCATCTACCCCTTTCCCTGACTGCAAGGCGGGAGTGAAACTAGTGACATCTGACGCAACTGAATTTGACCTGTCGAAAAATCCGCATTGCCACGGTGAATTCCTCGTCGGTGTCGAGAAGAATGCTACCATCCTCGACGCTTTTCTCTTGTGCCCCTTTTCTCCTGTGAATACAGAGGATCCGCGAATCCTCGTGCGGAAATGCTGCCCGTTGGACGAGGGATTCGATTGGATTCGAGAAGAATGCGCCCCATTCCCCTTCAACTGGACGTTTCCGGTCTCCAATCCGAAGACGGGGGAGATTCGGAATTCCTCACTAGACGAATATCGTTTCCATATCGACGATCTGGCTTCAGTTCCTTGCACCAAATATTATTTCACTCTGGACACGGACCACGACTACGTGTCCCAGGAGACCGGATCCCTCTATGCCCGAACAGTGAATACTACGTTTTCCAACGAGGAGTTCTGCTTGGAAAACGAGCTTTTGCCGGAAGGATCCAAGATGAATCTGGCCCGGATTTGTCACCCTATCGAGAAGAAGATGCGAGAGTGCGAAGGGAAAGTGTGTGTCCAGAAATGCTGTCCCGAGACGGACAGCATTTATTTGCACGAAGGTAGAATCCGATGCAGACCGGCTGGAAGGCGATGGGATCCTGAAAAATATGTTCATTCCCATCCTGTTCGTTCTCATTCGGAACGAGACTTCCATGTGATCACAGGCCTTCCCATGTGTCCGCGTCTGTCCTCCGATTTCATCCTATTGATGCCGGAATCCAGCCAGAATCCGGATGACCATTTCTCGTTGACCCAGACTGGCGGCTTGATGACGAAGCTGCTGGGTGGCATGGCGGTCGACGTCCCCCGCTATTGCATCGACGACACCGGCGACAGCCCCGAAACGCTGGAACCCCTGGCCTTGCTCTGCCATCTCAACTCGAGAGAGATTTTCCACATCGCGCCCGAGCTGGTGCTCGCGTCGGCCGTGGCCTTGCTGGTCGCTTTCCTCCTTTGCCTCTTTTCCCGCGAACGGGAGAGCCCGCCCGAGAAGTTTCTTCTCCTCTTCGTCGGCTGTCTCCTGGTCGCCGCAGTTCCCGAATATATGAGCCTGGTCGCCTCGTTCGGCCTCTATTCGCTCTGCCTCGTTTATGGTATCGGTCCAACTAATCGTCGCCTCGTCGCGAAGTTACGCACGTTTCATTCAAACGTTTCGCTCCGAAACTGTTGCAGAGTCGGTTATCGTTTTCGCGTCACTGGCCGCCTTTTTCTGGCTCAGCGCCATGGGCTTCCACGTCTGGTGGAATCTCAGGTGAGATCATCATCTCGAAACGCACTTCTGATGCACAAACTGGTTGATGACCTCGTCCCTTCTTTTCGTGATGGAAGCGATGCAGTGAAGCCGGATTCACCGGGGCAGGAGAGGAGGGAGCTGATCCGTTACGCCCTGTGCGCGTTCGGTATTCCGGCGTGCTTCGTCGCGGTCGCCCTCGGCGTGGCATTCGCTCCGGGGATCGCTCCTCGTTACGTCCAGTCGGGGTTGTCCGTCGAGGATGCGGGATTTTGCATGGTCAGACAGGGTACGCATCTCTTTCGTCAAAAGGTGGAATCATCTTGGGACGGGATGTCTCCAATTTTGGGGTTGGGATCTGGTCTCTTGTTCTGGCAACCGTGATTAAAAGGTCATCTAAGGTAATGACTTCAAGGGCAATTTGACAAGTAAGACTCTGCTTAACTCATGTCGATGCCTTTGGGGTTTTTATTTTTTTTGGAGAGGGGTAGGGGGTGGGGTGGGCCGAGTTCCGATTTAGTAATAAAAGTACTAAAAGTTAATTTTGAAAAATCCACTGTCCAACCGAAAGTGAAAACTACAGATTCAATTTCGAATTACGAGTTGTCGAAAGGCCAAAGGCATGCCTCCGCCCATGGAGAGCAGGTCGCACCCGAAGGCAGCCGGGTGAACTGTCGGCCAGGGAGAATTACACCTTCCGCCGGTCGGATTCGAACCTGGACCTCCTGCGAGCTAGCTGATATATACGAGTGCAAAATTTGAGCCGTGCGGAAGTCACGGGGTTGGCCGATGCCGTTATACCATATACTATTTAAATGGCAAACCTCGCACTTCATAAGTATAATATTGTTATATATTTTCCTTTTTCCATTTCATTTTTCATTAATGGTTCGCATAGTGTTATGTGTTGAGATCATGTACGACTATGTACGTCAATCGTGAGGCATGAAATGCCAGGAAAGACATGGCACAAATCGCAGAGCATCTGAAAAAGGGCAAACACGTGAATTTGAAGATTTCTTGAAGAAAAAATTGGCAATTTTCAGACTGAAAAAGCATAGTTAGCGTTTTCCCGTTTTCAGTAGCGAGCTGAAACTCACCTTCCTCAAATCTCATTCCGCAGCCGGAAAAAGGCGAATGTCCCCATCATAAAAACATTTAAAGCCTTTTCCCAGATCGTCGACGACTCGAGAGATATCAAATATATGGTATAACTGAATTGGCCAACATATGAACTTCGTAGGACTCAAATGTTGAATTCAGACATGTTTATGTATGAGCTGCGTCAAAGTCATTAATGCATTTAACAAAATCCGTCTGATTTTCAAGCGGTGGTGCAAATGTATTGATAAGCTATAGTTGCTCTTTCCAATCTGATCCGGGAGAGAAATTATTTTCGAGCGACTTCATGCAACGCTATGAAGCCATGACCGCCGAGAAGGGGAGGCGAGGGGGACGCCTCCCCTTTTCCTTTGTACAACTATGTACAGTAATTAACGGGTGAAAAACGTCCCTTGTCTTCTGTCCAATCCATCTTCCGTCTTTGGAGGAGAAAAAAAAAAGATTTAGTGCTTTTCACGTAGGAATGCGCGGCCTTGCCCATTGCCCTTGAACCTCGAGACGAAAAACAAAAAAAAAACCTTGTGAGAGCAACGAAACTCCGACTGTTGGAAGGATTAGCCTCTTCTTATCACTTCAAGCCTCCCCTTTTTCATTTCGGCCTCATCGCGTCCTCGTTGAATCGCCAATAAGTGTGTTAACAAAATAAAAAAAAGCGTTATAGAAGTTCATATTTTTTTAATTCCAAGACAAGTCCAAATAGGAAGGATGAAAAAAAGAAGCCACCAAGTAGAACTGCAGATGATGTCGATCCAGCACGTGACCTCCTTTCTCTGCCTCCTCCTCGTTCCTTTACTGGGAGGCTGGGTGAGAGGTGAATCGTCGAAGCTGGACAGAGGGAGGAAGTGCTGCCCGGATGAAGGCCAGTACGGAGTGTTTCATCCGGACACGGGTGCCCTTCAGTGCCTGGGACTCACGGAAAGTGTGAGTGCATCTACCCCCTTCCCAGAATGCAAGTCGGGGGTGAAACTAGTGACATCTGACCTAGTCGACTCCGACCCGTCGACCTTTCCTCATTGCCGCGGGAAATTCCTCGTCGGTGATGGGGAGAATGCGACCGTCCTCGACGCTTTCCTCCTCTGCCCCTCGGGGATTACCGAAGAAAGTGAAGAAGAGAGAAAAATCGTCGTCCGGAAGTGCTGTCCCCCGAACGAGGGCTACGATATGTTTTGGGAAAAATGCATTCCCCTTCCTTTCAACTGGACGCTCTCCGCGTTTAGTCAAAAGACGAGACAGTTTCGCATCTTATCGCAAGATGAATATCGGCTCCGCATCGACGACCTGTCTTCCGACCCTTGTAAGAAGCATTTCTTGTCCCCGACCACGTGCAACAATTGTCTGTTAGAGCACGGGCCCGTGTTCTTGGACACCGGTCGCCTCCACGTCCCAGCTTTGAATTTCACTTTTTCCAGCGAGCAGTTCTGCTTGGAAACTGGGTTCACGGCGGGTCGATGGGTCGATCTAGCTCAGATCTGTCACCCCACCGAGAAGAAGCTCCAAGACTGCGCGGGGAAAGTGTGCGTGCAGAAGTGTTGCCCCGAGAACGAATTCTTATGGAGACTGGCCGGGCAATGGACCCGATGCGGCCCTGCCGGGAGGCTCTGGGATCCCAGGAGGCTTTTCCGATCCGATCCCCCTTCACGGCGAGACATCCGAGTGATCTCGGGTCTTCCCGTGTGTCCGATTCTGCCGGGTCTTTTGTTCTTTCTGAACCCCGAAACCAGCGGGGATCCGAATCATAAGTTCTCTTTGACCGAGACGGGACGATTGACGACACGGACACCCATCGGCTTTAAAATCGACCTCGACGTCCCCCACTATTGCATCGACGAAACGAGAAGAAACGACGGTAAAACGGAGACCGTGGCGTGGATCTGCACCCCGCGAGTGAAGAACATCCTGCCCGTGGTCTTCGTCCTCGTCCCGACGTCCTCGGCGCTCCTGCTCGTCGTCCTCCTCGCCCTCTTCTCTCCCGAGAGGAGATGCCTCCCCGGGAAGATCCGCCTCCTCTACGTCGGCTGTCTCACGATCGGCAGCATTTCCGACAATTTCAACCTTTACGCCTACGACATCGGCATCTCCAACGGCCTCTGCTTCGTTTTCCGTACGTCCCTTCCCCGATCCTCGATCGATCATCGAGTAACCCATCCCTTATCATAAACTTCCCTCTCGTGCAGAAGCCCTTTACTTTTTCGGGCTACTTTCCTCTTTCTTCTGGCTGAACGTCATGAGCTTCGACCTCTGGCGGAATCTCAGGTGAGGAACGATCAACTATCTCGGGCCAAGTTTTTATTTTCCATTTGCTCGGTCGCTGATTTTTTTTTTTTCCTTTGAGACTCCGGTAACTCCGGTAAAAAAAAAAAAAGACTATAACTTTTTTATCTTAAATAATTTTATAAAAGTGGCAACTGAACTATTATACTTAAAAATCCCCGATGCGGTGCGAACAAATTAATTTATTATAAAATATAAATTTATTATGAATTATAAATTATAAATACTCTTATATTTCTGTTCATGCAACTATTCGCAGCCAGCTGGAGAAAAATGGTCTGTGATGATTCGAGCTTCCTTGTGATGAGCACGATGAGTCGTTCGAAACATGCACAAAATCGAGACTTAAGATACTGTAGAAGGTATAATAATTGTGAGGCACCTAACACCCCCGGGAGTCGATGGGATTAAGCAGAGAAAATCGAAAGGGGGAAGATCATCCTGATCCTTGGGGCTTCTCTTCCCTCTTGCCTTTTCCTGCATTCAGCTGGTAAATGGGTCACATGGGTTGTAGCGATCTGTATTGACGTTTTCCACGCTTCCTCCTTGCCGAAAAATGTGCGCATGTGCAAGTGGATCCTAATACGGCTGACATTGTTTTCATTGTTCGAACTGAAACAGTACCTTGCGGACGCCGTTGCGAGAGGGCGAGAGGAAGGCGCTCGTTCGCTACGGTCTCTATGCATTCGGAGTTTCGGGATGCTTGACCGTCGTGGCGTACTGCGTGCAGCTGGTTCCGGACCGACCTCCGCTTGCTTTCGAGCCGGACATGTTTCTGAAGACGGCGGAGTCTTGCAGGCGCCTTCGTATGCATCTGTCGTTCTTGGCCCAAATTAATATTTTTTTTTTGTCGATCTGGAAAGTGGCGGGGCAGAGCCTGGTCACGAAATCTAATTTTGTCGACCGATCTGTGGCGTTGGAATTATGCCGAACGGAATTACTACGACCGGACCCGAGACCTGCGAAAACCTAATTGTTCGTTTCAGATCGGATTCCCTGAATGAAAATACTGTCCATGAGCACCACATGCGAAAAGAAATTTAATATCAAAATGCACGTGGCGATGCCAACGTTTGGAATCACGTGACATATGCCTATTCCCAACTGCTGCCCGTATTCAAAGCCGATCGTTCGCCCAAATCAAAAAGTATTGGATCCTCATTCAGGGCCGGCCTCCACCCTCTATCCTCCATCCTCCACCCTCCATCCTCCACCCTCCATCCTCCACCCTCCATCCTCCACCCTCCATCCTCCACCCTCCACCCTCCACCCTCCATCCTCCACCCTCTGTCCTCCATCCTCCACCCTCCACTCTCTATTCTCCATCCTCCATCAGCAGAAGAGGAGAGCAAAGCTGCAGTCGCGACGCCAAGCAGAAGGGGTGTAGGAAATCCCACATCCCTCTCTTCCTCGCTTCCCCAGGTAGTTTGTTTCGAGTCAGATCCTCCCCGAGTCAGTTCCTCCCCGAGTCAGTTCCTCTCTAAAAGTCTTCCTCCATCAATCCTTTGACCTGGCATGCCAAACGACTCTTTTGCATTTCTAAGTTACTCCTAGGATTAGGACCAACAGGCCATAGGCATCTCTCGGCATCGTTCAATCGGCGTATTCGGGCTGGCTTTCGATTCAGGAAATGCCTTGTTGACATTCCAGATCGGCTTTTTTCCGGTTCGGTATCGCTCCGGGTCGACTTAAGTTATTCTGTCGCTTGTGATCGCCGTAGCATCTGGAGGCCACTGGAACTCTCTTTCCCCCTATCAATGACCGCATCGACGAAAGTGACGGTATCGGATGTTTCGGTTTGAAATTCAGAGGGAAATCGAGACACTCCCATGTTTCTATTCACACGAACCTGTTTCGTACGAGTCTTTTCAAGTCCTCTCCAGCTGATTTTGAAAAATTGGACTATCTTGTTTTCATGTCGCAATATTCGCCAATCGAATCCGTCTTCTTTCCCGGCGGACTCGTAGAATTCTCTGGTCTACATTGGTTTTTCTTCGGTCCGGTGGGCATCCTCCTGGCGGCCGATGTCGTCTTCTTCGCCCTCACAAGCCGTTACTTGATTCAGCACGCCAAAGACACGGCTCATCTGGCTCGAAGCCGGGAACAGAAACAGAAGTGAGTTTTGTTGTTAATAGGGTAAGCAGATTTTAAATTATTTTTCGAGAGTGACGCAGGAGATTCTCACTCGCGAATCAGAATAGCGTCCATTAAGAGGAAGGGCTGACTTCATGATTTAATTTCGCTAGACTGGGTCTGAGGAAGGATTGGCTTGTCCGTTGTTCAACTCCATTGCATAGTCATCTCGGGGAAGGGTAAGAAAATTAATTTTAAAAAGTTTATTTAGAAGATAATTGCTATTGGGTTTGCCGATTAGTCTATGGTTTTCCTGCGAGAAGCTACGTCTTATTTCTTCTTTTCCATTTCCAGGTTTTGGTTGTACTTGAAGCTGTTCGTGGTGATGGGAGGCAGTTGGCTGGCTGGAGTCGTATGCTACTTCTTCTTCTCGGCAGAGAGCTTGTACGCCCTGAACGGCCTCCAAGGAATCCTCATCTTCGTCTGCAAGAAGGAAACCGTGGCCCACCTGAAGCAGAAGGCGGGCGGGTGGCTCTCGAGGCTTCGCCGCGTCGACGGGATGGGGACGCGAGGCCGCGAACGCGACGCTCCGGCGTCCCCGACTCGACTCGGGGATTGTTAATTAAATCATTCGGTTCCAGTGGGGAAAATGGATCTGACGGGTGCATGGTGCGTCTGCGGTCCTCGTATCGAGGGATCGACTCTCTCTCTCTCTCTCTCGTTGTCGAGTGCCGTTGCAGAGATCTGCAATATTTTCTCCGCTTGATTTACAGGGTCGATAGCACAAGTGGCATGGAGTGTGTTGCCTCTTCGCTTTCGACGAGAGCGTCCGTCTGATTTACGAACATGGCTTTTCATCCAGATTAATCGTTCACTACCTGGTGTTAGAAAACACAGGTGAATCTCAGCATTCATGGCATCATTATGCTTTAAGACAAACAAATTTTGGACTCTGTTATTTAGGGTTTCTAGGGATGGGAATGGTGTCAAATATGAATATGAGGATGAATGATTCTGGTTCAACTCTATATCTATCTCTCATACTACATTGGGTTTCATGAGACATATTTGCAAACGCTGATTTGGCTGGAAGACTTCTGCTGTAAGTATAAGCTAGAAGCACAGAGAGAGCAGCAGCATTTCAGCACTATTTGCGACTAGAGTGCTGCTTTTGTGAATACAGAGGATTATTTAAAAGTTATTTCGAATTTTTTTTTTCGTTATTTTATTTTAAGCCGGCTCACTGTTATCTTTTGGGATGCTGTTTTTCCCTGGAGTCTGGGACCATCCTGCGTGTTTGGAAATGAGACGAATTTGAGCCCAGTGATCCACGTTTTTCTTCCCACAAATTAACTTAGCTCAAGGCTAAATTCGGGGAAATTCCATCGTGGGGGGCGAGAAGCAATATTTTGTAATTTAAAGCGAAATATTTTGTAATTTAAATTTAGAACTAAATTTCCGGTTTGCCAGATCTTTGTCGTAACGAAGCTGTCACTTCTCGAAATGTTCAGCTTTCCTTCAGAAGTTATTCGTGAAAATCTTTTAAATCTTCATAATCGTGATGATGAGTATTTCTTAGCCTCATCCTCAAAAAAAAGCATCCAATGAGATGGAATTTTTAGTTGAGAGCCAAGGTGTTTTGTGATGATTGGCCAGGGACCGGGAATAAGGGAAAATGCCCCGGAATCACGGAGCCAAGGCCATGCAGATGATCGTGCGAAAACGGCATTTTTCGACGAATATTAAAAATGCGAAACTTGTTTTTTAAACGAGCGGTCCAAGGAAGCGGTGTGCAAGTACTGCAAGCAGTACTTACGTGGTGGAGCGCTCATCCTACGCCTAGATGCTGGAATCGCACCGAAAATTTTTCAGTCCTCGCGACTGGAAAATTCTCCACGAAAGGAGTGTGAGGGTCGCGTGCCGCACGCTCTCGCCCCACGCGTCATGCCTGGTCGTCGTGGAACGACTGACCGCAAGGAAGAAGCCTGTAGCGGCGGAATCGGGTTGAAACTAGGAATGCTATCTACCCACTCCCATCCGTTCTTCTAGCGTTCTGAGCCCCCCCACGCGTACCACTGAACACCTCGACGCGAGTCGGGCCATTTTCTCCGGATCAACATGGAAACAGCATACGCGTGCTCCTCCGTGGCGACGACAGGAATCGGTGTCGACCGCAGTCTTCCTGATGACGACTCGGAAGACGTGCTTCCTCTTGATATTGACGCAAAATACATCCGCTTCCTGGTGGCCCACACCCGCGGGATCGAAAGATTAAGGTCAAGGAATTGCGCATGGAAGCGACCGATTTCGTGACACTCGAAGAGGCAGGGCACAAGTTAGATCCGTAACAACTCCCCCGGTTGTGAGAAATGCGAACAGCTGAAGCCGGGAGTGTCGAAAGTGAACCAAGGACAGCCCCAACGAAGACGAACGTCGACCTCGGGGTCATCGGATTCGATTCACAGGGATGAGAAATTTCACGAAGGGACACGACTGTGGGCCCTCTGATGGCCGAGAATCCCGCAAGGGTTCTGAATAAAAATTTGAATTGGCAATAACTGCCAAGTGAGCGAGGAAACCAAGGGAACAAAAGCTCTCGCGGCACACGCGACTGGCAGCATGCTCGCCTGCTTCGCGAATGCCTACCTGTCTCTTCCACTCTCTTGAGGGATGCAATCCCCTGCTCCCTTCTTCGGGGACGGCTGACTCCTTCTGATGCTGTTGGCTCTGTCCGGAAGGACATTGTCGTTTCCCGTTTTCCCTTTAAACCTTCGTGGAAGGCCTGGTTGCTTTCGCGTTTCGTTCTGAAGTCGAGCGAAGGTCCATTTTTTCCCTCTCTAGTATCCTTGCTCTCTGTTGGGCCGGGAAAAATCCCAAGTCGGTGTTGCCGTTCTTTTTCGCGTAAAAAATTGTTGTTATTCCGTTTCGCTTTTTAATCTTAACCCTTTTAACACCACTGGTCTACATATAGGCCGCGAATTTTCCACGCTTCTCGCTTTTTAAGGGCCGGCGGGGGGCAGTGTTGTGCGTACTAGTGTGGCTGCCATCTATTGATACTTTCGTTTATATGATATATGTCATGGATACACTTTAAATTTAAATTTAAAAAAATTGGAGCCGAGAATGTAAAATAAAAACGTACCGATATTATTTTGTGAAATATGGTAAAAGACCCAGTGGTACTCAGTTATGGGCCACGTCACAGGAAAATTACAAAAACTAGGCATTTGTTCCATGACCACCTCCGAAATGTGTATGTGCTTGAATGCTGCTAGCATATGTGACAACAAGGGTAGGTGTGCCATGAAAGCAAAGCTATTGGAATTTTTATGTGCTGTGGCCTGAAAACATGCGTGGCATTAAAAGGGTAAAGTAAGATTAGGTTTCCGTTTTCTGAATGACGCGGGATGAGGCAATGGATTTTTTCGATCCCGCTCGATTTCTCGTTCAAAACTCAGCTTTGGTGGGGAGAATGAAAATTAAATGGTCCACGCAAATTGTATTGTCATTAGCATTTGTTGGCCGCCGGGAGGTAGAGGATCGGGATATTGAGTCGACAAATCTGCTTATAGCTAGTGAAATCTGCGATGAAGAAAAAACTAATTTTAGACATCCAATTTTACAGTTTAGATAATAATGAAAAATATTTAGGGAAAATATAAGTACATACACGTAGTAATCAATTTGTAAATTGAGAGACATGACTGCATGCCTTCATGTAAAACAAAAATGAAATTTACATTTTTGAAAAAGCTCAAAATATTTGTGCACGCGAATTTCGTAATTCATATCTAAGCCAATGGGTTAACCCCTTCCGTTTCCGCAGCCCTGGACCAAAGGCCAACCCGTTCCTCTTCCTGCCGTGTTCATCCTCGCCCTCGCTATCTTCAATCCTTCCGTGTGATCGATGAATAACGAATGACTCAAGCTGATAAAAATGTATGAAAAAGCATTTGAGCCGGAGCACAGACCGGCATCTGGTAGTCGCCATCCGGAGCGTGAGGATGAAGGTGATGGTCCGTGTGGCCTGTGCCCTCTTGCTCTTTCGACCGGGATGCTGGGTGAGAAGTGAATCGTCGGATGAAGTGAAGGAGTGTTGCCCAGACCAAGTTCAATATGGAGTGTACGACCGAGACACGGGTGCCGTCCGGTGCGAAGGTGTCAGCGAAACGAGCGCATCTCCCCCACTGCCAGAGTGCGACTCAAAGAAGGAACTGGTCCCGCTCGACCAAACTGATGGCACCTTCTCCAAGAATCCAATCTGCCGGGGAAAATTCCTGGCCGGGGGAAGGGACAGCAGTAACGGGACATTTTTCCAGGCTTACCTCTTCTGTCCGTCTGGAGCTGAACGAGAAAAAACAGACCCGAAAATCCTAATCCAGAAATGCTGCCCGTTAGGCGAAGGCTACAGTCGGGTTCAGGAAGAATGCGTCCCCCTCTCCTTGAACTGGACGTTTCCGGTCTCCGATCCGATGACAGGGAAGATTCGGGATTCGTCACCGAGCGAATATCGGCTCCGTATCGACAATCTCACTTCAATTCCTTGCAATAAGTATTTTTTCACCCTGGACACAGACCACGACTTCGTATCCCTAGAAACCGGAGAGCTGTACTCTCGATTCGTAGATTCCACGTTTTCGAACGAGCAGTTCTGTCTGGATTACGACCATATGATGGACGGATCCAAGGTAATTCAGGCCCGGATTTGCCACCCGATCGAGAAGAAAATGCGAGAATGCGAAGGGAAGGCGTGTGTCCAGAAATGCTGTCCCGAGAATGACTTCGTTTACTTGCATGGAGGTCGCATCCGATGCAGACCGGCTGGAAGGCGATGGGATCCCAGGAATTATTCTCGATCCGATCCGGGCCTGAATCAATTGGACAAAGACATTCGTGTGATCACGGGGCTCCCCGTGTGTGCGCGTCTGCCATCTACATATATGCGTTTCATGCCAGACTCCAGCCGGAATCCAAACGATGATTTTTTCTTGATGCAGACCACAGGATTAATTCTAAAGGGACACCGTAACTTTGTCGTCAACGTCCCTCGATATTGCATCGATGATACGGGTAACAGCTCTGAGACATTGGAACCTATAGCCCTTGTGTGCCATCCGAATTATCATGAGATTTTTCGAGTCGCTTCTTCGCTGATCCTCGCGTCGGCCGTGGTTTTGCTGGTCACCTTTCTTCTTGGCCTCTTCTCCCGAGAGCGAAAGAACCTGCCCGGAAAGATTCGTCTTCTCTACGTTGGCTGTCTCCTGGTCGCTTCCACTGCCGAATATTTGAGTCTGGTCGCCTCGTTCGATCTTTATTCGCTCTGTTTGGTTTATGGTATTAATTCTCCTTATCGTGGCATTGTTGGTGAAGCATCTTTCGATTCAGAATTTCCTCTCTCAAACTCTTGCAGACTCGGTCATCATGTTCGCGTCCCTGGCTGGATTCTGCTGGCTCAACGTCATGGGCTTCCATGTTTGGTGGAATTTTAGGTGAAGGTCGATGGTCATCTCCATAGAAAACCAATTTCCAATCCACCGGGCGATACGTTGATATTTGAGAAATGATCTCATGTCTTCTCGTGGTGACAGCGTCCCAATATCGGGTCTACCGGGGAAGGAGAGGAGAAATCTGCTTCGCTATTGTCTGTATGCATTCGGGGTCCCGGCGCTCTTGGTCGCGATCGTCTTCAGCGTGGGATTCGCTCCGGGCATCGTCCCTCCGTTCATCCAGTCCGGAAAGTCTATCAAGATAGCGGGATTTTGCATGATCATTCCGGGTACGGCTCCCATGGCGATCGTGCACTAAGGCAGACATGGAACAACTGCTGGATCGGTTTTGAACGAGGAACGGGGAGTACGAGGTTGAAAAACGATGTCGCGATAGAATATCTTTTATCTGCATATGTCTGCAATGTCGATTAATATTGCGATAGTTCGCGCAACCTTAGAATTTCCTAAGTGTCTTCTCAGCAAGACTTACTTTTCCCTCATGAGGCGATGATGACCGCCCAGATAACAAGCAACGTTGGGCCAACGTTGGGTATGAGTGAGAGACGTTGGCGGAATGTGAATGCTGAGGAACGATGTTGGTCCAATGTGAGACCAACGCGGTCAAATCCCCACGCTGAGATCTTCGACAAGTTTAAGCGTCATTCAAGCCAATTAAGGGATGTGTGGGTTTTGCTTTCCGCAGAGTGCACATAAGTGCCCTTCCCTCTTTCGATGAAATCGTCCCTCACAGGAGTGTTTTGTACCTCGCCACGCGTCTCGCCTAGCTTCTTTATAGGAATCTTTGAACGCGGACACTTCGTCATTTGTTTTTCACATGTTCATGGCAGATTCATGGAGCCAGGCCATAAACAAGATCATATTCCGCATCAGAACCCTTTACCAAAGCAGGTTCATATTTTGCGAAAATAAAATTTGAACACTAATAGCGCCCGCGAACTCGATCCACTAATTCCTCATCCTGATAGCAGAAAGAAGAGATTAGGAACTGATTTTGCGGATACTTAAAATAGAATATTAAGAGATAAACCTTCCCCTGAAATGTACTATTTTAGCAAATCCAGGGGAAGATCAACTCATCCTGCTTATCCATGGTACAAACATGTTTTGGCTAGTTATGCTAGAACAGACTTTGTATTCCAGATTGGAATGTCTCCACCGTGGGAGTCCTTCCACTGGGTAATGGAGTTTAAGTATTTGGCACGAAATGATGAATGTGGATAGATTAGAGCATATACCAGCGCAAATATTAGGCAAATATTTTTTGGGGTAGTAATCCCGATATAGGCGTGCTACTGGGGTAAGTCGGTTATATGTTGCTCTGCTACTTACTGCCAACGTTGATTCATATTCATGATTCATATTCATGAATATTCATATACCAGCGCAAATATTAGGCAAATATTTTTTGAGGTAGTAATCCCGATATAGGCGTGCTACTTACTGCCAACGTTGACTCCACATTGGCCCAACTCTAACTTTTACGTGGGGGCTACGTATCCTGACGTTGGAGCACCACATCGGACCAACGTGGACTCCACGAAAAATGGTGTCTGGGCTGACTGCAGTGCTTTTTGGGAACCTTCTGGCCTTAAAGGCTTTTTCGTGAACACGATCCCCTGTGATTTATTGTCTTTGACATTTCAAGCTTAGGTTAAAGAAAAGAAATCACAAGAAACTGTCGAAGAAAAGCTTTTCAGTCTGTCGCAGTCTGCTTTTAAATGCGCCTTTTGTATTGTAGAATACTGGAATAATTTATGCTCGAAGGTGATTTTTGCTTTACAGACGAATCCGATGTTTCGTTTACTTGTTCTTATGGGTTTGATTTCATGCGATTCTTACTGGGTGACCGAATGTTTCCTGGCATTTATGCTGTCGATTGAGCATGCTCTTTTTTATGGTATACTTGTAGTGTATCCTGCTTTAAAGTGGTGCTTCTATGGTCTAATGGCTTCGCTCCTGGTGGTTAATGCCACTTTCTTCACTCTCGCAAGTCGTTACTTGATTCAGCATGCCAGGAGCACTGCTCATCTGACTAGAAGCGGGGAACAGAAACTCCAGTGAGTTCCTTCGTCCGTTTCATATGCTTCAACTTTTTCGAAATGTATTTTTTCTGGGAGTGACGTAAGCTATCGTGGGACCGACTGTTACCAGCTGAAAAGAGGGGAGGGGGGGCGTACTTTGTTGCTTCTTCTTCCATACCGTCCAAGAATGAAATACCGTCGCTGTCGGGTTCCAACTGTGCTGCAAATATGAAGACATTCAATTACTTCCAAGGAAATGAAATGGAAAAATTGCATTTACCCAGGGCGTGAAAATATGAGACAAGATGAAGATAAACATTAGCTGAGAGAGTAGGTAGGTAGGGGGGGTAGGAGAAATAAATGTTAGGGAAGAATTTGATGAAGAAGCCGATTAAGTTACACTATTTCCTCGATTGTCACTGCAGATTCTGGTTGTACGTGAAATTGTTTGTGCTGATGGGAGGAACCTGGTTGATTGTGATTATCAGCCACTTTACCATGCAAACTTTGGAGTTTACCTACGTCACGTATGTCCTGACCGGTCTTCAAGGATTCTTCATCTTCTTCATATTCGTGTTTAAAAAGGAAACGGCGAAATACTTGATGACGAAGGCTGGCGAATGTCTGTCCAGCCTTCGCCGCAAGGATAGGAATCAAGAATCGAGGGGAACTCGAGGCCATCTGCATTTTGATCCGATGTCCCCATTCGAGTTGAAAAACTCTGAAGTCGACGAGGCTTTCACCCCCCGCCGCTCACGACCCCGACGATCCCGAACGCTGCCCAAGAGGCGTCATCCAGAAAACTGCGGGATCGAACGCCGTGAGCACTGACGTCTAGGAGACATCCGCATGAGGCTGTCGCGTTTCCACGTCGGGCGGAACGTGGAAGGGACTCGGAGGTTTTTTTTCGTTTTATTCTCTTCGGGATTCAGAGGATCATCACGGTTTGGGAGATGTCACCAAGTCAAGTGAACCTTTTGGCAATTTTTTTTTCCAGTGAACAACAGTGCTTGACAGTTTACTTGTTTGCGTCTCAGTAGCATTTTCCATTTATTTTACGCTTTTAAGGATTAAGCACCGCTCGTAATCGAAAGAAAAGATTTTGCATGACGTCTGCTTCTTTATGTAATAAACTTCCCAACAAGAAACAGTTGAAATTGATCGTTTTAAACATGACCTTCATAGACATAGACGGAATCGCAGCATTGAAACTTTGCGCTACTTTCAACTGGAAAATCACAACAGTACAAGGAAACCAGAAGTTATGAAGTTCGGGTTGGGAGCTACTGGGATTCCCCCAGAAAGGGAGCCCGCCCAACGATGAAGCTGTCAATTGCAAAGGGGAAAACTTGTCCTAAAGGGTTTTAGGCGTTACAAATCTGTTTTTTTTTTCTACGTTGGACTTGAGCGAGGCATCACGAGTCTAGGTCAATCAACCACCTACTGCCATCTCCTTTTCGTCCCGTCTAATCGATGAACCGTGCACGAGTCACAACTTGATGGAGTGTAACCGAGCGGTAGCTGAAGCAATCATCTGGACACTTCATCAAAGAGCAGAAAGGAGGAAGAATAATGAAGGGGGATGTTCACCTGCAGCGTTGTCTGCGCTCTTTCCCTCTTTCTCTCAGGACGTTGCGGGTCATCGAAGTGGACGGAGGAAGGACGTGTCGCCAAGGCCGAGGGCGGTATGGGGTGTTTGATCCGGACACGGGTGCCAGACGGTGCCATTCGGTGCCGTGGTGTCGCCGACGGTGCGAGTGCGCCTCTGCTCGTCTGCTCCGAATCCAGAAACTTCAGAAACCTTGAAGATGCGGTTTTCGATCTCGTTTCTATTGCATATCGCCCGTCACTCGAGAACCAGATCTGAATGTACTTGAACACCTTCATCCGTTCCTGTGGGACCTCACTGAGAGCACTGAGTGCAGGGTGCACTCTACTAGATTTTTNAAATGCGTCTCGAGACATGTTTCAACACGAATCCATTGCTGTGTGCGCGCGTGGCAGACTCGTGGGAAGGAAAAAGCGCTGTGACATTTCTACGAATAAGCCAAAATAGATGATTGTAAGTTTTCAAACCCAGATTTTAATACTCTATCGAAAAAGAAAAGTTGCGACTTCCTATATTTCCTGGAACCTGCACTACGACCCAGGCACATCATATCGTGTCACCCTGTACTTCCCAGAAACGCGTTCAACCCTCCCTTCGCTCTAGAGCCATGTGTCCGATACGTTAGTCACTCGCCACATGTGGCAGTTCGGCCACATACATGTGGCGAATCGGCCAGACATGTGGCGAACAGATGATGACCTCAAATCTACTTTCAAAAGATTGCACATTATTTTTATTTATATTGCGTATATTTTGTATCATGTGGCGAATAATGGTGGGAATTGGTTCAACGGAACCAACTCTGGAAGGCCCTTGTCCTTTTCCCGTTTTTCACCTTTTTCGAAAGCGCATGACGATCCAAGGGGATGAGGCTCATTTTTTTCTGAGGAACGTATTCATACCGAAACACGAAATGAGAATATTTAATTATTTCACACACCGTGCTGGTGTCCCGATAGAAAAGGATCATTCATTCGGATTCCACATATAAAAAATCATTCATGCCAGGAAACCATCTTCCACATCAGATGAGCTCTTGAATGAGGCATCCTCCTTCCTCATCCTCCATTTGCTCATTTCTTCTTTTTCCTGTCGTCCCCGAACCAAGGTAGCGGCTGAGACTCGGGAAGAGATCATCTACAGCATCGTAATCCACCGACATCGCAATCGCAGTGCGGCCACGACTTTCCAGCACGGTGACTTTGATGGGCAACACTGGATGATGGTAGCGGCGACAAATTTTCTTGGTCTCCTCCGTTCCAGATAGGACACGGTGTTGGATATTCAGCATCATGCAGTCGTCCTCGAAGAACGCAGCGACGACCAGCTCGGGCGGCAGAAGCCAGGAGCGTTCTGGAGACAAGGTAAGAAACCAGGTGTGAAATTCTCCAGAATATGACGTTCTGAAATTCTAAGTTGCAATCAACGGCAATGGAAGATAAACAATGATGAATCGGGGGAGACAAGCGTGAATCACGAAAGAGACTCACGAGGCAAGAAGATGGACACGAGCATCGCCGATGATTTGCAGGAGACCTCCACACGAGGGGGAAGGAGACTGAGATTCACCATATATTCCTCCAACTCCCTTCAAGGCATTCCGTGAGTTAGAGAAACCATCGAACTTGGAATCACAAGAGTGAACATCCTGAGTCGATGAATCACCTACATGACACGACTCGATGGTAGCGGGGGGTCAAGCAATCTCACCCCGAACGCAAGCACACCAGGCCTGGATGTGAACCTCATCTCACCCACACCCACGACCGGGAGACGCCCACCTATCGAGACCGAATCGTTATGGTTCCTTCGACGATCCCACCCGATTCGATGAGTAGGATGGATGAAGTGGAAAACACACTGGGTTTCATGGGCAAAGCCAGGTGCCTCTGCCAGGAATAAAAACGCTTGTCGTCGGACAAGGAGATGGACGGTGTGAAGACGCTCTCTTCTGGACATGCGGCTGCTTCGTGGTCGAAAGAGGCAGAAAACGGGGGGGAGGCATCTGACTCGGCCCGATCTCCTTCTGCCCGACGTGCATCTCGGGAGGAACCAGGAAGATCGGCGGAATCGGTGCGGGGGGGAGAGGTTGTAGCATGGACTATCTCTCCATGCTCGAATGGGAGCAGCTGCTCGGAGATGAGCCCTATCCTCTCTCTTTCCAATGAGGCGGGTTTCTTCTTAAAAATGCTCGGCAGGAACCTCTTCTTGAGGGAGTGGCCTTTGGATGTGGGCCATGCAGGGTTTTCCCCGTCGACAGCTGACGACCCTGCTTCCATATCTAGACGAAAACATTTCATTCGGCTCATGGACGGGCCATGAGAATACATTTTGGATCGAAAAGCAATGCAACTCCAAAAGAAAAGACACATCACAATTTTATTTGGATGAGGTGGAGGCGCCCGACTACTGACAATGTAGGATGGACTCACGGGAGGCATCGCCTCGATCCGAATCCTCTTCTGATCGTGGGCAACAGCAGCAATAGTTACCCATTTCGGACTCTCGATCTCGCCGTAAGCGGGGCTGGGATGAATCGAGATCGATCTGTGTGACTCGACGATTGCCAGGCAACGAGGAGCATTCTTTCAAATTCTCCCGTGACGTTGTCTGTACTCGTAATATACGTAAGTGATGGGCGACGGAATAGGCATCTCTCGTCGATGGCTTGCTGTCTTCTCTTTTTCCACCTGCAGCACAAGATTTAGCCAATAAAAATATTAGGAAAAAAACAGTGCATCACATTTAAATGGGGAACGATTTTTCATTGCACGTTGTAGGTATTATCCGGTTCGATCCGTCAGTACTCAGTACAGTCAGTAAGTTCACATCCATGAGGGGAGGTAAACACTATCCAATAATGAGAGTTCGCTTCCCTACAAACTTTCGATCTGTCAACCTCGGTTCGCCAAAGTTCCCTCAGAACTTTGCTACATGTCTGGTCGATTCCCCACATACATGTGGCGAATCGGCCAGACATGTGGCGAATAGATGATGACCTCAAACCTATTTTAAAAAGATTGCACGTTATTTTTATTTTTATTGCATATATTTTGTATCATGTGGCGAATAATTGTGACAATCGTTCACTGTGACTCTCGAGCTTTTGCAAAAGATGTACGCACAGATATCTGCAGCAAGTACCTGCAGTACGTAGGTACATTTGCTGCAAAAGCTTGAGAGTCTCAGTGAACGATTTTCAGAACTTCATCTTTGCCCTTTGCTCCAGCGCTGACATTCCAATGAAATCCGCCGAAAGTTTCTGACCATGGCAATTGTTTTTATCACCAACAGAGCTCCCTAAAGGAGAGACCACTGAAATTTTTACCATGAATCGCAGTGAACATAGTTGACGCCTTCCCAGTGGCCAATAATTTCGACGAGTAATATATGAGCTACAGCCAAAGTTCCGTTCCTTTTAGATTAGTCTAGAAAGTTATATACTTGGTTCGTGTATCCATCCGTTTCCCAAGCCCTTCACCAAGGGCACACCCGCTCACTTCCTGGCATGTCCATCCTCGAACTCACTATCTCCATTCGTTCCACGAGCTCGATGAATGAAGAATGCTTCTGGAGCTGATAAAAAAAAAAAGAAAACGAATTTAGCGGGAGCATAGACCGGCTGCTTAAAGTCATTATCTGGAGCATGAGGATGAAGGTGGTGCTCTGCGTGACCAGTGCTCTCTTTCTCATTTTACACGCATGCTGCGCAAGTAATGAAACGTCGGATGAAGTGAAGGAGTGTTGCCCAGACCAAGTTCAATATGGAGTGTACGACAGAGAGACGGGTGCCATCCGGTGCGAAAGTGTCAACGGAACAAGCACAAATCCCTCGCTGTCAGAATGCAGTTCCAAAATGGAACTAGTCCCGTTCGACCAAACCGATCGGAACCTCTCCACGATCCCATTTTGCCAGGGAAAATTCCACGCCGGAAGTTGGGACGGGAGCAACGGGACGTTCATCCAGGGTTATCTCTTCTGTCTGTCCGAAGCTGAGCGAGAGAAAACAGACTCGAGAATCCTGATAAGGAAATGCTGCCCGTTAGGAGAGGGCTACAGTCGGGTTTGGGAAAAATGCTTACCTCTCCCCTTCGACTGGACGTTTCCGGTCTTCGACCCGGAAACAGAGGAAATTCGGACTTCGTTACCAAGCGAATATCGGCTCCGTATCGACGATCTGACTTCAATTTCTTGCCACAAGTATTTTTTCCCCTTGGACACAGACCACGACTTCGTATCCCTGGAAAACGGGGAGCTGTACTCTCGAGCTGCGAATTCCACGTATTCAAACGAGCAGTTCTGTCTGGATTACGATATGATGGACGAATCCAAGGTGATTCAGGCCCGGATTTGCCACCCGATCGAGAAGAAAATGCGAGAGTGCGAAGGGAAGGCATGTGTCCAGAAATGCTGTCCCGAAAATGACTTCGTTTACTTGCATGGAGGTCGCATCCGATGCAGACCGGCTGGAAGGCGATGGGATCCCAGGAATTATTCCCGATCCGATCTGGGGCTGAATCGGTCAGAAAAAGAAATTCGTGTCATCGCAGGCCTCCCGATGTGTGTGCGTCTGCCATCTATTTATATGTATTTAATGCCTAACTCAAGCCGGAATCCAGACGATGATTTCTCCTTGATGCAGACCACAGGATTAATTCTGAAGGGGTACCGTAACTTTGTCGTCGACGTCCCTCGATATTGCATCGATGATACGGGTAACAGCTCTGAGACATTGGAACCTATAGCCGTTGTGTGCTATCCGGACTTTCATGAGATTTTTCGAGTCGCTTTTTCGCTGATCCTCGCGACTGCAGTGGTCTTGCTGGTCACCTTCATTTTTGGACTCTTTTCCCACGAACGAAAGAGCCTGACAGGGAAGATTTCTTTATTCTACGTTGGCTGTCTCGTGATTTCTTCCAGTGCAGAATGCATGAGTCTGGTCGCCTCGTTCGACCTCTATTTTCTCTGTTTGGTTTACGGTATTAATTCTCCTTATCGTGGCATTGTTGGTGAAGCATCTTTCGATTCAGAATTTCCTCTCTCGAACTCTTGCAGATTTGGTCCTCATTTACGCGTCCCTGGCTGCATTCTGCTGGCTCAACGTCATGGGCTTCCATGTTTGGAGGAATTTTAGGTGAGAGTTGATGGACTTCTCGAATGTATACCCACTTCTTTTTCACCAGGGCTGAAGGCTTGCAAATGACCTCATGTCTTTTCGTGATGATAGCGTCCCAATATCGGGTCTACCAGAGCAGGAGAGGAGAAATCTGCTTCATTATTGCCTGTATGCATTCGGGCTCCCGGCGCTCTTGGTCGCGATCGTCTTCAGCGTGGGATTCGCTCCGGGCATCGTCCCTCCGTTCATCCAGTCCGGAGAGTATATCAAGATAGCGGGATTTTGCATGATCATTCCGGGTACGCATGTTTCCATGGCGGCCGTGAATGAAGCAGATGTATAACAATATCCGTTTGGTCGATTTTTAATGAGGAAGTGGGGAGTTTGAGGTTGAATGACGATGTCGCGGACATATGCAGATTGAATTTCTCAATCTGATCAGATTGGATCAATATCGATTAATGTTACGATAATTGGCGCAACCTTAGAAACTTTTTAATTTTCCCTCACACTTTTTCTTCATGTGGTTTATTGCTAGTGCATCATGAACACGATCCCTTGTCATTTATTCTCTTTGACTTTTTAAGCTTAAAAGCTTGAAGGGTCAAGGAGAAGAAATGACATGGGACTGTCTAAAAAATAAAAAAAGCTTTTCAGTTCGTCGCTGTCTGCTTTTGAATGCACCTTCTCTATAGTTGAAAATATTGAATTATTTGCACTTAAAGGTGATTTAAATTTCAAAGGTAAATCTTACTCTCTGATGTTTCGTTATTTTGTTTTTTTTTTATTTATGGGCTTGATCTCTTGTGATTCTTACTGGGCTTTTTTCGAATGGTTTCTGACTTTTGTTCTGTCGATTGAACATGCTTTCTTTTATGGTATACTTGTAGTGTATCCTGCCTTAAAGTGGTGCTTCTATGGTCTAATGGCCTCGCTCCTGGTGATTAATGCAGTTTTCTTCGCTCTTACAAGTCGTTACTTGATTCAGCATTCCAGGAACACCGCTTATCTGGCCAGAAGTCGGGAACAAAAACTCCAGTGAGTTCCTTCGTCTGTTTCTTGAGGCTAAACTCTTTTGATATATATATTTCTGGGATTGACGCAGTGGCGGCTCTTGGACGAAAAATTTGGGGAGGCCAGCTCATGAAAATGATCATGATAATAAACAATAATTAATTTTAGTATTAATGGGAACAAGAAGCATGAAAAGTGTGCTGTCAGTCGCTGAGCGAGGAACCGTCTCAAGTTTACAGTTTGAATTGTATCGAAATCACGCAAAAGCAGAATAGATATTGAAACCATGAATCGAACACTTGAGTGAGAGAAGAAGCGCATCGACCCGAGGAGAGAAGTAGTGATCTGACGACTTTTTCATCCGTAGATATCAAAATATATGTTGCGTAGATGTAGAGGGTGTTCACAAAAAGACTCTCTAGTTTTAATTGCTCATATTTATTAAAGTATGTTACTGCATTGTTTCTAGTGTCACTGAATACGTGAGGCACGGGAGTTTATGTCTGTACAGTGCTGTCCCCAAGCAGTAGCTTCATTATACAGTAGAGCAGTTGTATGCATTAGCATGCAGTTCTGGATTTCCTCAATGAGATTTCCATAACAGGGTCATCTCAAATCGATATCCTGGTCGCTTTGGAACTGGGTGGTCCTGGCCACCGTATCCTCATGATCTTGATCATGAAAATGTTTACGCATGAGTTAAATCTCGCATTCTTTACGTGTTTTCTGACACCAGAAACAGTGCCTAAGTGACATACTTAATTAAATATAAGCAATTAAAACTAGAGCGTCTTTTCATGAACACTCTGTAAATTGGCAATGCGAATTAGGATGCCCGAAAAGCTCTCTACTTGAGCCAATGGAGCCTAAAGACACGCTAGCTCTTGCAGGCAGGCACCCGCTTATGCACAATCTAGACGGTGGGGCCGGCCTCCCTGCTCTCGTATGCTATTGTATTGCTAGTGGTACTATGCATTGTCTTTGAACCAGAGGAGACCATCAGTCTCTGGCCTCCAGTAAGTGATTATGGGTTAACTTGTCAGAAGTCGGACTTCGCTTGTTTCTCGATTGAAAATGAATCCAATGGTTCTCAGAGATTGCTTTGTTATTTGTTATCTCTAATGGATATTTTAAATTGTATGAGGAAGGGTCTCCAGAGAATTTTTGAGACCGGATTGACACGTGAGCTATCGCGCGACCGACTGTCACCAATTGAAACGAGATCTTTTTTCCCATTGAGTCCAAGAACGAGGAGCCGTCGATGTCCGTTCAAGCTGTATTGAAAATATGATGCACATCAATTATCTTTACTTTGGCGTTACTTGCATTTAAAAATTATATAAACCCACTATGTTCCCAGGGCGTAAAAATAAAAAAAATATTAGGCAGACAGTATCAGAGGGAGAGAAAGTGAGGTGAATTTTAGGGAAGAATTTGATGAAGAAGCCGATTTATTCTTTCCTGGATTGTCTCTGCAGATTCTGGCTGTACGTGAAGTTGTTCGTGCTGATGGGAGGAACCTGGTTGATCGCGATTATCGGCCATTTCACCATGCAAAATCTGGAGTTTGCATACGTGACGTATGCCCTGACCGGTCTTCAAGGATTCTTCGTCTTCCTCATCTTCGTTTGTAAAAAGGAAACCACGAAATGCTTGAAGACGAAGGGTAACGACTGCCTTTCCAGGTTCCACTGCAGGGAATCGATGGAAACCGACGGCGATCCGCATTTCCATCCGATTCACCCCACATCGGACTGGAAGAGCGAAAACGCGAATGAAACTTTCACCCCCACGTCTGCCAACGACAGCATCGAATGCCACCCTCGCCACTCCGTGGGAATGACTCCCGAAGTGAGCCCCATTTCCAAGGGAACCTCGGAGGCCTGACTCCTTCCTCGTGATTTCCAGGGTCGCAACCAGCAGAAACGCGAAACCCCTCATTTTTTTTATCAGGACAGTTTCCGCTAATGAGCTGTTCTCGTAAGGTATCGCACCCTAATGATTGCTCTGGCTTTGAAATGTCACCGCCACGACTGGACAATTTTTTCGTTTGGCATTCCACTGCTTCGCAGTTTCTTCATGTCTCTGTTGCATTTGTATATTATTTTCACTTCGTATTTTGAGGGAGAGAAGGTATGCACGGAATCCGCTGACTTTCTGTAATAATAACGTTCAAACCTGAAACCGATCGGCATTCCTGTCTGCTTCGAACGCGACCACCAAAAGCATAAGCAGGAACGCAATCGGATCCAGCAACTTCAAATTTGAGAGTTCAAGGCAGCAAGAAATCGAGACATTTCAGCACTCCGACCGAGTTCGACTGGTATTCACCAGACAGAATCCACAAAACGAACTTGGAATCTGTCCGTAAGGAAAGGTTTCAGGGGTGGCCGTTCACGATGGAGCAGAAAAGAGCATTTTAAGGGGTTGTAGGCGTTCCAAAGCTGCTTTTTTATTTCTCCCGAATTTGACTATAGGGAAGCGCCACGAATTGATGGACTCTTGAAATAGTCCCTCGTATCGATTGGTGACAGTCGGTCGCACGATAGCTTGCGTCAATCCTAGAAATTTACTGGAATTTCCGTTTCCGGCTTCTGGCCAGATGAGCGGTGTTCCTGGAATCTTGAATCAAAGTAACGACTTGCGAGAGCGAAGAGAACGGAATTAAAGCAGGATACACTACAAGTATACGGCAAAGGAAAGCATGCTCGATCGACTGATCTGAAACCATTCGGTGCCGAAAGGACTTCAGACTTCGGTCAACATCACATCACGATAATAAAAAATAAAAAAAAGTGTATTGCTAGGAATCAATTCTTCCGAATTTCTGAGGTTGCGCCGATTAGCTGCCGGCAATTTGACAACGAGAGAGAATCTCGGTAAGGAAGCACTGTGGGCCATTAACTGTGGGCCATTAACTTACTTTTCAACGTCATCTTCATCGGTCGAAAATATTTTTCCTTCGAGATCCGAATTCAAACATCGAAACACGTGGAAGTCGCATGGGGCCCGGTCCGGCGAACAAGGCGAATGCGGGCTTCGTGCGGAGGCGCTTTGCGCGACAGCAGAATTCCTTCCTGCCATCACAATTCACGTTTTCGTCGGTGGTCAGTGTTGTTGATGGCGCCCCAATTGCTTTTCGAATGACTGCCGACCACAAGGAAATTGACTGATCCAGCGTGCGATCGTACTGTATGGTAAAGCATCGACTTGATAAACAATGACGAGCTCTTCGTGAATCTGCGTCGCATTCTTGTCCTTCCGCATCAAATATCGGATCACTGCACGCTGCTCAAGAAATTTTCATCCATTATCCAAAGATGGTTTCGATTCGAGTACTATATCTCCTGGTGGGAGCAGGCTACCGTGCTCAAACTCGGCCCGCAGCCATCAGAGATGCAAGGCCGCTTTGTCATAGGAGTCACCTTGCCGCACTTGAGACTCCCGCTCGTCCTCAAACTACCCTTGTATATTTCATTTCTCGTAGACCTAAGCCTAGCCTAGCCTTGGCGACAATGTTAGGCTGGGCTTATGATCAGCCGGAAGCACTCACCTGACGTTTGAAGGCTCTGTTCTTTCTGAGATTGGAGACCTAGATCTCTAAGAAAGTTTTGTAGGGCATGGTATCTACGCTGGTATGTTTAGAACGCGTCCGCTCTATGGATGAAACCTTGGAAGAGCATATTCGACATTCTCCCTTCATGTAAATTGTATTATAATGTTTGAAATAATTTTTTTAAAATTAACCCTCACTGTCACTGGACAGGCAGAGGCGGTCCACATGCTCAGGCCTGGTGCAACGCAGGCGTGGTTGCCTGTTTCTGCAGACAACCACCTGCACTGGGTCCGTTTCAGGAGTTTGGAATAAGGCAACAAGAAGACAGGAAAATAAAGTTCCTCTATTCCAATATCACTACATAGTAAATAGGGAGTGCTTGAGGAATTGACTTCCGACAGTTCAGGTACCAGCAAGCGGGCGCTCAGCCTTCTACATAGATCACTTAAGCCCTATCAACAACAAGATGTGGCGCTCGGCCTTCTACATAAAGTTCACTTAGGGCCTAACGCACTGAGGACTACATCGGCACTCGGCCTCCTACATAAAATTCAGCAGTTTTTCGGCGCTCGGCCATCTACAGAGGACTCAATAGTTACTCGGCGCTCGGCCATCCACAAAGAATTCAAACAGTTGGAACAATCAAATAATGTTTCTCAGGGAGAATAAGTGGACCGCCGTGAGTCGGACTTGCATTCTCACTTCCAATGGTCCTGGTTCGTGGTCACGAGGTTCCGTTTTGAGGCAGAGGGTTGTAGTCCACCAAGTCAAGAAGTGGTGTCCATTTGGTCAGTCTTCTCGCTGGCTCAGATAAAAATCAGGATGTTATAACTTTGTTGAAAGAGCCATACCGATGGAAATAGGCAAAACTCCGTCTCCCAACATCAGGACCAAGTCAAGAAGTGGTGTCCATTTGGTCAGTCTTCTCGCTGGCTCAGATAAAAATCAGGATGTTATAACTTTGTTGAAAGAGCCATACCGATGGAAACGCAGAGAAAGAAAAGAGGTTCCTTTCGGGAAGAATCCCAGATGCGGGGAGCGAGGGAGGGTCAGATGCGATGGTGCGATGGCAGAGAAACAGCAGGATGAGAACAGTCGTGCCCGAATAGGGGACCAGCGAAGCAGCGATCCAAAGGAGAAACGGAAGACGACTGGGGCAGTCGTCTTCCGTTTCAGAAAGACGTTCAGAAAGACGTCCTGTTGGCGGGGCGCCAACAGGACGTCTTTCTGCACGCAGATTGTAAAGCAGGGTTGCTTCACCCTATTTTGAAATGTTCATACGACTGCACGTGCAAGCCTATTCAAAAGGAGTGACATTCAGCCTGCAACACTGGAATGCACCCTCTGACCCTTGCGGCATCAGCTCATGTGAAAAACCCGACAGGACATCGTCTGCTAGAGATGTTACACTGGGCCTCAAGTAGACGGCTGCTCGGGTGTCGGATTCCGCTAAGCCCTTCAAAATCCATTCAGGCGCCAAGATTGCGAAAGATACTTGATATTTTCTTGCAATATAGTACCCATCGAATGATTTAAGTGCAAATTAGCTGCAACGAAGCTTCGATTCTTTGGAGGCGAGACCCCATTCGACCGACACCTTCATATCACGAACCGAACATGACTCTAGCTACCCCGCTTCATTCATGCGTTCCAAGAATTCTTGCTCTGGCTTCACACAGTTTCAGATAACGTGGAAGTTGCTGGTGGTGGTCTCTCAGATGTTGCACCAATCTGCCGCCGCTGAGTTCTGTATCAAGGCAGCTCATCTCCTAGATAGTGATGGTCTAGGTCTATCCTTTTGTCAAGGCCAACGCATTTAGGTGACATTGAAAAAGATCCTTTCCTTGCCCCTAAAGATATAAAGCCTGCAGGACCTTCTCTCCCTGGTCTTGTTTCCTCTGAAATTCGAGAAGATAACAGGACTCTTATTCTGGTGTGCTACTGGAAGAACCAGACCTCGTCATTGAGGTTATGGTGTAATTACCAGTTTTATTGCTGGAAGTGAATGGGAATGGACAAGATATTCCATGAAAGGGTAAGACGAAATACTAAACATTCCCGAACCTAGGCCTAGACTAGCTTCTGTCCTATTACCATATGAGCTCTAATTGTCTAATATTAGACCCTGTGTGTGTGGCAGGCCTAGGCCAAAGATACCCACATGGCCATTGCTGGGCAGTTTGGTTCTCCCAAGGCAATTTTTCTTCTTCACAGTTTATGTTAATGTTTCCTCGGTAACAACTAAATACTTCAGGGGAAGCTGATTAGTTTCAACATGACAATTGATGAGTACACATGCCATCATCACACCCTAATCTCTAAGAAGAACTATGAGCCTGTGAATATGAACTGTTTGGAAAATCACCCCAGACATACCCACATAGCCAAGGAACCTGAACCCCCCACCCCTCCCTCCTCCCCTTCTTGAAAGTAGGATTGAATGAAGAAAAAAATAAAACACAGTTGAGAGGAAGTAGAAAAGACCAAAATGGCATAGGTGGCCTTACCTGCTACCTTTCCTTCCAAGTGGTAAGGAGATTGTACTGCCATAGATTATCATTAGTGATTATTCCCAGAACATCTAGAATATTTGGAAAATCTGTTGATGCAGCTCCTCTTTTGACTATTACTGACTTTTAATAGAAGTTCAGATTGATTCGATTTTGATGACATTGACTTTTGACTGAACTATTGGGCTTTCACTGCTGAAGGTACATTGAGAAGACAGGCTTCACTTTTGAAATACCTATGACAAAAAGATGACAGGATGAGGATCAAATCCATAACACTTCTCATTGACCTGAACTGTAAACCATTGGGCTATCTCTCTGTGGCTGTTGAAAGTGGTGCAGGTAGTTCGGACAGGAAGAGGTGCAACATCTAATCATGCTTGTATATCAAATGTATATCTTTTTATAGCCTTTCTGATGACAAAATTGGTACTGGACTATGGATATAAGTTGCTGCAAGTTGCTGAATGCAGAGAGTAATAAGTTAAGATGTAGACTTTCAAAGAGCATATCATAGAAGCCTAACTTAATTGGACTTATCCCAGGACTGTGGTCCCTGAACCATATGCTGGGACACCCTAGTGTGCTGTGATTAAGACTTGGGTGCACTATGGGATTCAAGATCTGTGAAGAAAAATATCCTAACTTGCTTGAATCCATTCCTCCTCATTCAAAGATCTGTTAGAGGACAAAGCATTTTGTGATTAAAGTGCCTTGAAATTAATGTAAGTCAAGAAAAAATATGGTTGAAGACTACTGAATTTTAGAAAAGTTATCACAAATTCCTGATATGTTGCCTCATTCCAGTAGTCCTCATTGTCTTTCATGGGGTGACCTATGGGGAATGGCTATTTCAAGATCCCAACAAAGCCTACCTTTGTAATTGCTACTTAGTCCTTTCTCTGTGTCTCTCATATTTAACCTCTTCCTTTCAATTTTTCATATAGTTTATTCCTTCAAACCTGTAGTTGAAACATGAAGGGAAACATTAACCTGTCAAACAGCTTGTCAGGTAAAGTAAGGTTAATTGCTGGCTAGCAGCAATAGTGTTAATCAACCAGACTGATTTTGCTCTATTCTGCCACACCATGTCAATCAAGAGAGACTGACTGGTGAAAGTGTTAATGAGCATGGGAAAGGTGTATATCTATAAGTCTATAGTTAGTATTCCTCCCCTTAGGAAGCATGGATTCATTTACAATCCCCTTCTGCCATGGTTAAGGCCACCCCTTATTCACAGCCAGGTGAATTTGATTTCTCAAATCCCAGCCTCCTTATCAGGAAAGGGTCATCCATATCTGACAGCTCCAGGGATGAGGGCATACACTATTATTTATTTTGTGTTAGAGGGGACTTAACACCCTGATGTGGATAGATGAACTGACTCTCATCATTCATCTGATTGTGTAAAGTTTGCTTAAGTCCTTGAAGAATAAAACAGACAATTCCAAAACAACCAAACAATTCAACGTGATCTTATCTTTTGAATGGTAAGTGGCTTTCAAGTTATGTCTTACTACTTCCCTCTTGTGGTTACAGGGAGAGATGAGTGCCCTGCATTGCCTCAACTCCCTTCTCCAGGGGGAATACCACACTACAGATGACTTGGCAGTTCTTGCTCAGAGGACAACCGACAGTGCCTCAGAGTCTGAAGAATTCAGAGGATTCGTGTCTGTGAGTTGGTGCAGCTGTAATCACCTTATTTGCCCATTCTTAAGTTTTGCTTTATGTAAAAGGCAGAAGTTACTGCTTGGTTCCTTGTAAGAGTTCACAAGGAAGCAATTAACTCACCATAAAATCAAGCCCCATGTCTCTAGTGCCATGAAAATGCAGATGGGAAATGTGCCTTGAGGTTTGTGAAGTATTGGACCCAAGCATACTTTTATGTTTGTCAAGTGTGACAACCTAGCATTCACTTTGCCCCACCCTGATCTTTCATGTCTAAATTTGAGCCTTGTATATCACAATTCATGACTGATTTTGCAATGACAAAGAATTGAATCTGAAAAAACGGAAACATAGTACATATTCATATCTATTGCTTGTCTATGGAAGAAACTCCTGAACTGGGATGAAGTTATTACATTCTGTGAATGTCATGATGCTTCCAGGACCCATTAGGGTATGACAGTGGACAGAACTCAATACTGGTGATGAGCAAAGCCTTGGAATTGTGGAATCTTACCCTTATTCCCTTCAGCAGTGATTGCTCCAAGGCTGTTGCTGCCAGAGAGTATCCTATGTGAGTGGCTCTATCCACCAGCTGTATAACTTGTCACTTTTTTGTGACTCATCACCAATTTATCACCCTTCTCTTTGCTTGATATCTGCCCTAGACAGATTCTCAAGGAAGACTAATGAGGACATTAACATGCTGTAAATGATGGGTCAATTTTCCACCAAGATAGTGATTTATATTTTGAAAGAGATTAAGATCTGATAGTAATACCCTGTATAGCACTCTTAATCCTGAAGAGAAAAATTTTTGCTGAAAACCAAAAAGAAATGAAAAAATAAAAAATATCAGTCAAAAGTTATGAGTCGGAATATTCACAGCCCGATTCACATCTCCATATATACAGTGGTATAATGACCCCTTTTAGCGCTGCTTCAGTTAGCACTCTCTTTTCCAGGAACACATCCTGAGTGCTAAGCAGAGTATTACTGTATCTGTGTCTGGTAGTACCTCCAGGGAGATTCTATGATGAAACTCATTAACACACAAGAGAGGCTGAAGTCCACTAGGATTGCAACTGGGAGATCAGGTCCCTCAGGTGAAAGAGATTCACAAGTTGATCACAAGAGATTTAAGGTTTACCAACTTCTCCTAATGGTTCCAAAAATGTTCAGCTACTTAAAACCGAAGGTCTTTGACAGTAGGATCTTGAATAAAATTGAGTCACAGGACTTGTCCTTCAAACTGCTTATCTAGAGGTACAATGGGTGGTGTATACTATATCTCTGATTACTTCCAGTTAGTTCCTCATTAGTGCAATCCTATTTAAGCAAAAGTCATATGATCACAATCCCACAGTGATCCCATGAAGAGGGCACCACCATGGATTAACTCTTGACTCTCCACTAGATTCTTAAAAAGCACTAAGAGGCCAATGAGGCTTATGTGTGTTTGTGAGCCTAGAAAAGGTACATGATCTAGTGATTTAAGGGAAGTTGCAGAAAGCATTACATGGCTATGAGATGAAGAGTTAGAATTATGAGCCATTCAGTTCTCTTATTGGAATTACTGGAGTTGGGTTCAAATGATCAAGATGAGTTTGAACTCTTTCCAGATTCAGTTCTGCCAGGATAATGTGAAACTCTATGTCCTCAAAACCCTGGTTATCATCACATCTTGTCATAATGTTTTCATAATACAAACCAGTTAACAACACTGACTTTAAACATAATTTTGGCCTACCAGTAATTAAAAATATAAATAATCCCATCGTCAGGTGTGGAGATCAGCTAGAAAAGCAGGTGAACATGCAGCAAACAGACTGGACCAAATCATGTACTGCTTTTCTTTCAGGGCTCCAACAGCTTATATTTGCATCTGCCACCATGATTGGTTTGCCATTCGCAAGCTTGGATACCAGTGGTTCAACCTGAATTCAATGTTGAGTGAACCTGAGATGTTATCTGAAACACATCTGTCCTTATTACTTGCCCAGTTGGAAGCAGATGGTAAGGGAATTGATACCTTGAAATGGATTATTCTCTTTTCATATTGGAGTTCAAATCAGGTATCTTATTTCAAATTTCTTTTGATTCTCTATGTTGAGAATTCACATCAATTACATACCTCATGTCAAGTGTTTCAATTCCAGATATATCATGGCCAAAGTTTAGTGTAGGTTAACTCCTTTCATTTCTTCATTTCCTACCAATAATTTAAGTTAATGACTTGAGGAAAGGAAGAATAGGAATATATTTTTTTAGTGTTGAAGTAGCTCAGAGAGGAGTATTTTCATCAACCATGTAATGTTCAATCCATACCAGCCTATTCATCTAGTGCTGCTTTTTTTTTTTACTTTTCAGGTCCATTTGATGAAGTTTGATTCACTTACACACTTGCTTGACACTCTCATCAATCGTACATCCATGGCCACAGGTAGTACATCACCATGAAAATATTAATTTCATCTATTATGAAATTATGAGTTTTTTGAGTCAATTAAAGATGCTGCTGGAATTACTCACTGTTTGCCTGAGCGTAAATGCACTGCTACAGTAGCCACTCCTCAGTAATCTTCCTTGCTAATTCTAATCATTTTGTGATGAGTTCATTTCACACATCACATAAGATGAATTGTAAGAAATTTCTCTAATTAGTGCTATGTGACAATAAGACAAAAAACAGACAATAGATCCAATTCAACAAACATCCTGTCTTTCCACTTCTGCAAAGGTGGACACAGTTCAACTGATCTGCTGCACATGCAAATCATGTGATAGTTAGTGTGCAGCCTTTTTCTGAAGCTCTGTTTGCTCCTATTCATGACTATCTGTGTGTCTGGTGTAGGTGTCATCTGGCACACATGCAGAGAATTCAGTTGCCTTTTCCATAGTAAATAAATTCACACTGTAGCTGCTATTTTTTGCTTTCTATTTTATTGCATTTAGGGAATAACTTTTTTTCTACAAACTCCATGTATGATAGATGAGAAGAGGTTAACCTGGTTATTGATCCAAGTTATGCTTGAACTTGGACTCTACTTCATTGAAATTTTCATCAGGTTCTCATGTGTCACAATTTCACATACTGTACATTTGTGTATCCTGGTCTGGGGACAGAATATTCTGCTGCATTCATTGTGGATGGATTCCTCCCTCAATGTGAGGCAGATGATATCCTCCGCATCACACCAGCTGTTCAGGCCACAAAGCAAAAACTCAACTCCCAACCAGGTGAGTTCACAATGTCTTTAAAAAAAATACATTTGGGGTTGAATGCTATGGATACCAAAACTCTCTTGACACAGAGAACATAGGTGGTGATTGGGATGGAAACAATAGAGAGGAAGATCCAGAGTTGAGACAGGCTCTGGAAGCAAGCATGGATGAAACCCTGGAAGAGCAATTCCATGAACAGTTGACAGCTGCATTAGCCCTTAGCAGGAACATGGTTGGGGGAAGGAGTCAACCAGAAGAGTGTACTTCAGCTTTAGGTAGTTCTTCCAGGTTTCTCCTTATGATTTCCAAGGGAGAAACATTTATCAGCTTAGATTTTACATTTTTATCCATGGCATATTGATGCAATTTTTGCATCATCAATGAATTTATTTCTAGACATAGCTCTACATTTCTCTAGAGAACTGCAAAATGAGCTTTTGAAATAGTAAGATTAGAAAGGAAGTGATTAAGGTTAATTGCATAAGTTAACAGTCAGAGGACTAAAGAGATTCATGAGGGAACATTGCATGCATTTTTTTGGTTTATTCTGTACTTACTTTGTTGTTTTCACTGTGCCAGGGTACTCAGCAGAGTTGTCGGAAGCACTGCAGGATGTGTCCAAGCTTGATGAGGCAGTGCTTTCCTGTTGGGAGGCAGAGATGGTGGATCAATTCCAGTGCCCTAAGAGGGAAGAAAAGTGGCGGGAGGGTGTGGCAAAGTCTGCATTCACCTACCTTCTCCTGGATCCCCGCTTGACACAAAACCTCCCTGCTCGGACTGATCTCTGTGAAACGGAGAAGCTTCGCATCTTTGTCTCTTCTGTGTTCTACATTGGAAAGGGGAAGCAGAATCGCCCATATCATCACCTCTATCAAGCACTTCGAACTACCAGGAGCCAGCACCAGGTCAAATAACTTCAGTGGAGGCATTCAATGGTAGCCAGGGCATGGAACTTGGGGTACATGACTGTTGGCTCTCAGGCAGTGCCCAACTAAATGTAGGCTCTTCCCCTTACATTCACATGAATAAACCTAATCTCCTAAGTTTAATACAGACTTAGACTCTGAGGCTGCTCCCTTGTCAAGTGCACAGATCATTCAATGGCCTGTGCAGGAACCCAAATTCTTTTCTGTGCAGTTGTTGAATGCACTCAATAGTGTTTTGGCATCAATTTTTTCATTTGTAATTTATTTCATATGAAATTTTTTTTTTCATCCAAAAGGAGCCATTAAAGGCAAAGAGGATCCAGGAGATCTGGGGGAGTGAGCAGGGTGTGGTCCTCCTTCAAGTTTTCCATTCTGTAATCCCTGTGGAGGCCTACTCAAGAGAAGCTGCCATGATTGATGCCATTGGTTTGTCCCTTTTCTCTAATTTTTTCCTTTTCACCAGTCCCACAACACCATCTATGGAATGTGGAATTTGCATAATTGCACCCATGTTACAGTATTACTAGGCTCTTGGCTCTTACTGAGGGCTATTCCTGCTTTCTGCTAATGTTGCAAGTAATGATATGCTACTTAACTGCATTAACTGGGCATATTTCTACTGCAAATTACTACTAATCCACCCTTGGATAATGGTGAAAACTATCCCGTCAGTTTAAACTGGTTACGGGTCATACCCTGAATGATACCCTAGAGTAGTCTTACCTTAAGTAGGTTCGTCTCTGTCCAACCCTGTATGGAGGAAGAGTTTCGTTACGCCTAGAATCTCCTCGATGGGGAACGACAAGTCAGTCCTGAAAATTTATGATGGAATTTTTATATTTTATCTGCTGGTCTTTATTCTAAACCAGGGGTTGGGAACCTATGGCTCATGAGTCAGGGCTAAAAAAACATGGCTGTCCCTCATTTTTCTCTTGTATCAAAGAATGCATATGTTTGTTCCCAAATTCAGGAAAAACAAATTTTTTTTTTAAATCGAAAATCTTTGGCTCAATCTTAATATGGCTCATATGGCTAAAAAGGTTCCCGACCCCTGTTCTAAACCAATGGACTCCCAATCCCAACACTGTTTTCAGATTGAATTGGTACCCCTCAGTTGTGGTGAAAGGAGAAAGCAAAACATTTCCAGACTTTCTGCTTGATCCCAAGCTTGCTGCACTGTGTGGTTGCTAAATGGTTGATGATAATTGTGCTTCCTGGGATGACCCTAGAGAAGAAAATATAATAAGTGTAATGGGAAACCATGGAAGGAAATTTCCTCCACCTCTTAGGACGTCATTCTTGGTAATATGGTATTACATCTTCAAACATTACTGCATGTCATTGAACATCATCTGCTCAAAGACAACTGGAAATCATATCTCAGCAGGGAGAAGCTCTGAGAATCATGACCTCTTACAGTAGTTATAATATTTAGGATGATTTTTACATCTTCAAACATTACTGCATGTCATTGAACATCATCTGCTCAAAGACAACTGGAAATCATATCTCAGCAGGGAGAAGCTGAGAATCATGACCTCTTACAGTAGTTATAATATTTAGGATGATTTACAGCAATTCATCATCCAGAAACATAAGGATGGTTAGGGATATAGACAAATAGCAAGAGAGAGAAGTTTGCAGAAGGCATCAGTTACATGAATCTGCTAGATCTCCGAAAATTCTGGGGAGAGGAGAAAGAAGAAAAAGAGGAGTCATCATAAGCCAAAGCAGGCACTTCCTCAGGAAAAAGAATTGGAAGTATTCTTTGACTTTGAACGATAGATTTCTCTCATACCTCTGCTTACAACTAACTTTAGACCTCATTTTATCAGTTCTTTCAAATTACTTCTGTATAGCAACTACAAACCCACATTATTCAGGACAAGTCAACTTTTGCATTTATTTTTTTAGTTTCAAGCTATTCTATCCATGATGATTTGAATGTCACAAAGTCCTCAGTAGTATTCCTGCATTCAGTAATCGATCTGATGTCATCAAGAAGAGGTAAGTGGCAGATGCTGCATAGGTTTTTATGATGCTCCTTGACATGGCATGAAATTTGTTTTCTCAGGTTCGACATTTGCTCTGAAATTTTCTGATTCTTTCTTCTGGTGGTCTTGAAGTAGAACCTACTTTCAGGTGTTTTGGAGAGATATTTCGTCGACAAGTCTCCCTTGTAGTCTCCGTCCAGTCCCTGATTCCTTATTCAACTTAACAACTATAGCTTTTGAAAGGTGGGAAGAAATGTGCTTCTGATGTCTTCCAGGATGTTATTTAGATAAATTTTCTGATCTAGGTGAGCAACAAGAACAGCTGGGGGTAATGTCACCCTGATCGTGAAAATGTCTAACAAGGGAGTAGTTCATCACACCAGATGGACAGATGTAGTGATGGACACTGTCCCATTTAATCATGGAGATGTCAATTTCAACATCACACCTGAGCATGGTCATGATATCATGTGTACACCATCATGCTCTCCTTTCCTCAATTCCATTGAGGACTTCTTCTGCATGATTAAAGTTAGTTACCTCTCACATACAAAAATCATATTACTCCATGTTTAATACACTATCAATGAAGTGGGAGAGATGTTATGATGACTTGCCCCTCCCAATCGAACACATTCAAAGGAAGTCGAATGCCCCATCCACAGTGGTTCCACAGAATTTTTGCTGCAATTGAGGATGCTGTTTCATCTATCACCATTCATCACTGCAAGGCAGCAATAAAGCCCATTAAGGCCTTTTTTAAATCTTGTTTTGGTAAGCTTCACATTGACAAGGACCCTGCAACACAAACATGATTTTGCAATCAGCTATAAAGATCAATAGAAACTTGACTGAAAAACTCACTCAGCAAAAATGAGTGGCATCTTCTACATGAATCAATTGCCATTTCATGTTTCTGTTTTCAGCCCTTCTCAGCAAAGGATGACAATATCAATGCAGTAAAACACTGATGACATGCTGTACCAGTTCAGCCCTAAAAACAGTGTCTCCTTTTCTCCTCCGCCAACCCTTTCACCATTCCCTGTATCCATATTGATCTTGGATATTGAAGAATATGGTTCTGTAGTCTGATTGTAGTCTTTGTCTGATTGTTCTTGTGTCATTTACCTTTAACAACTTACTTTTATTTGAACAATTTCCTTTTCTTTTTTTTTT